AACCAACTGTCATCCATACGTATTCATTTTAATAATCTTTATAATAATTCATATGATTTTACATGTGGCCTGAGAAAATCGTGTCTATTATTTTGGTTTGTGAGATCGGAGATCGCGCTGCGCACGTGTACAAACATTCAGGAGGACACAAACTTCTTGAGAACGCTGCCCCGCAACTTTTATTAATAAAATAGATTAAATAGCCTACTGGAGAGACGCACAGAAGCAGGTAGGCTAATTCACACAACGGTCACCTCTCCCTCTCTCTCTCTCTCGAATAATAATTAATTCAAGTAGCTAAATGTTATAATTAATTCATTCAAATAAAATTTAAACTCGTGATTTCAAATTATGCTGCACTTTATGCATTTGCCTACTGTCATATTCATGTCATTTTCACTGTGTGCTGTATGTAAAATGACATGTATGTAAAAAAATATGATTCCCAATGCACACAAACTTCCCAGATTACTTAGTGCCCTGTTGGTTACAATGTTGACTTTTTATTAAATATTTATTTCTTTGTGAAAAATACACTGTCATCTAAAGTAGAAGTATGTTTATTTTACACATTTGTTTTTTAACAATGTTTTCAAATTTCTTAAATATTAATTAAAATAAATAGAATTATATCGGCTTTATATCGGCCACCCTGCTTTCCAAGATATCGGCATCGGCTGTCAAAAAAACAATTATCGGTCAACCACTAGACTTGTCTAGTCATATCTTAAATATCTATTGTATAAAATATCTTCAATCTATGATCAAATGTTAAGCATTAATTACAGAATCCAGATCCTCTATTCATACGTCAGAGTGTTTCTGCCATTGAGCTTGAATCAAAGAGCTGAACAGCTGCCAAACTATAACCAATCCAGATATTATGGCAACAATTATCTGAGGTGTCACATAGCACTAGGATCCTCTGATTGAAAGCTACTCTCAAGCACCATATGCTGTTTGCAGGGAAACTAGACGCATAGGCAGGTGACAGTCGCCGTCTTGAAAACTAGTGAGCTGCAAACCCAGACAGCACATTTGCGAATCACAGGCACATATGATGCACAGACATGCTGTCTAGGTAGGCAGCTCACTAAGATTTGAGACAGACATAAAAAGCAAGCACTTAACAAATGTCTGAACTTGCTTTGAGTTACTAATATTTCAGTTAGATTCAGACAAATATAAAATAATAAAATTAATAATGTACTATGATTAGATATGTAAGGCACACTACGTTTTTTGAACATGAACTAAAGTATTATTTGCAGTACCATTAACACTATATGTATATGAATATCATTAATATGGTATTATTACCATCTAATTATATAAACACGGGACTTTTAATAAAGCTAAAATGAAAGGGAGAAACGCTCCAGGCATTACAAGACACCCAAAACGACGCATTACAAAATGTACTGTGGAAGTACCATGGTAAAACTCCAAAATTCCACTGCAGAATGTCCAAAAACGAAGTATTACCATGGTACTATGTACAAAAGATTATGGTAATACAGCGGTAATGACTTAATGACATAATCTATGACAGACCCAAACCGACATTTCAACGCAATGTCAGTGGTACGTTATTAATTTCTTAGGTATTAGTTTTAAACTGACAGTCCTATCTGAGGTTCTGCCGACTTTTAAGTGCACCCAAAGTGACTTTTAACAGGACAAATGTGTCTGAAGCCACATGATCAAGCCAGAACTTGAATGCTGAATCTCTTCCTTGTATCCAAACATACTGGTTTGACTAAATACTGAATGTCTTCACAAAGGGAGCTAAAAATATAAACGAGTTTCCAGAAATAATTGAGTTAAGAGTCGTAAGCAATCACGGCTATGGCTTCACGGACACCGGCTAATGCTAAATTCAGACGTGCAAGTCATTCACTTGTGCTGGCCTGAAACATGACATGACTCAAGACGGCACACACACACACACACACACACACACACACACACACAGACATACTGACATGAGCTCCAGAGCGGTCAGACTGAGCTCTATAACCGCTTAGCCGGCTGCGTTCAGGCCTTCGGTCGTCATTCTAGGAGGGCAGGGTAACTTAAAGCAGAAAGCTTTAAAAATGAGTGTCTTAAATAAGGCCCAGCCGAAGCCCTGACCTCTCCACGGGCTACCTGCGGGACGAAGCCCTGCCCTCTCCACGGGCTACCTGCGGGAACACTCTCACACTCAGCCCCGCGGCCGAGCGAGCCGCAGCAGGCCCGGCCTAGCACACAGGCCCAGTGCAATATCACACCAAGCGGCTCCCAGAAAACGCCCTGTGCGCCACCGATGCGGTGTAAGTACATAAAAGGTTGCAAAATTCACGGCGGCCGCCATGATGACTTTTTCCCAGTGCATTTGAATTGAAAACATGGCAACCCCGCGGGTCAGCACTGGCCTACAATTCAAGGCAACGACGCAGCGATCGGCGGTTTTTTCACACCTACCTTCATGTCGGGACATCCTACAGACAGTGACACAGCCCCTCCTCGGGCTCCCTAACGTCTATGAGTCAGAAAGGTGCCGCTAACAACGAAATAAAAGTGGGACGCGGTCTTTCGTTCCTATTTTCTCTCTTGAAGATGGATCCGGGGCTTACTTCTCTCCGCTTCCCCCTCCCCGTCTGTCATCAAGCGACTGTGTGTGTGTGTGAGATGCACCGGGTGCGGACGCGGTCTGCCGGCAGGGGGCGCTGGACTCATCTACTTCTTCTTCTGTGGTGTTTGAAGGGCGGTAAACTCGTGTAGCTCTCGGATGGACGAATATGGGTTCTTTTAGCGTTGACAGCGCCATCTACGGTAGCTGAAGGATATTTTTATTATTCAAAACGTAGAAATACAGTGGACCCAAATGTACACTACCAGTCAAAAGTTTTTGAACAGTAAGAATTCTCTTCTGCTCACCAAGACTGCATTTGTTTGATCCAAAATGCAGCAAAAGCAGTGATATTGTGAAATATTTTTACTATTTAAAATAACTGCTTTCTATTTGAATATATTTTAAAATGTTATTTATTCCTGTGATTTCAAAGCTGATTTTTTAGCATCATTACTGCAGTCTTCAGTGTCACATGGTCCTTCAGAAATAATTATAATATTCGGACTTATTAATTCATGAATGTGTGAATTTAACTGCACTAATAAAATATGAAACCAAGTGATTTCAGCACAAGCACATTATGTTTCTCAAAAAGGTTTGTTAGGTTTTAAATTTCATAAGCATTTACACACCTGTGTGAATTTGAGAGGTACTGACAGTTTAAAAAAAAAAACAGCTGATTAAAAGTCATTGCAAAAATGTCAGACATGTAAAGTTAGTTCTGAGAAAAAGTCTAACATCTTTTGTTTACAGATGATTTGATATTTTATTGCAGTGACTCATAATTTTAGTAAGTGTGGGTTAAACTTGTTTTTAAACGTTTGGGGCCACTGTAGATTGAAACTACAATATAGAAAAATAATCCTCATAATTAATAAATCAATAAAAACTATACAAAATACACAAGGGGTAAGTCTTCCAAGTAGGCCTATGTGTTCATAAATGACATAATTGATTTTGTGTGTGTGTGTGTGTGTGTGTGTGTGTGTGTGTGTGTGTGTGTACATAAATATGGAAAATAATTTTTAGTTTTAAACTAGAACAGTTTTTACCTACCATTTCCAAAAATACTGGTTAAAAACGCTGGGTATAGAGTATTATATCAACCAGCTACATATAATTAAAAATAATATTATGTTATAATATTAAAATTATATTATAACATAATATACGTCATATGTCGATATATACGACAATATACGTCATATGTCACGTCACTTTTTTTTTTTTATTACTTAATAAATCACACCCATTCAGAACTTACACAGTGATCCAGAAACAGTGATTTTTTTTTTGCATTCTTTATTTCTGCAAGTAATATTCAGTGCTATCTTATTGACATTTTTCAGTCCTTAGACATATAAACAGGCAGATAAACAAAAGTTGACACATTAGTGTCATGTACAAAGTGACCGTCAAATGGCCTCCAATATCATACAGTTAATTAGACAGCGAGTTTTATCTGTAAAATACAGTGCATTTAAAAAGACAATTGCAGCAGTTAAGATAAACATTCCTACATGCAAAACATGAACCCACATTACATTCCTTACATGTGATTATCAGATTATCAAACAGCATTCCCTCATACCATACATTACAAGCATGCTTTAAAGAATATTAAATAGGTTCAAAAAACTCCTCCATGTTCTTCTATGTGTGCTTAAATCACAGACTCCTTGGTAAAGCACTTCATTTTGAGATTAATTATATTGCCAGTAAGTCATTTAGATAAAAACCTGATAGTTTTGAATTATTTTAAAGGGAAATTCCTAAATTACCAGAACTTTCTATGAGATAAATCTATTTAAGATGAAGAACAATGTGGGACAAGGGAGTGCTTTTCATTGCAATTTTTGTGTTAGATAGGCATAATATCCTGTTCTCAACACAGATTTAGATGAAAGAAGAAATCACCCTATTTCTATTTAAACAAAGCACACTATGCTTGTCTAAGTTAAAAAAAAAAATTGTTAATTAACATCTAAAATGTTCATTTTGACTCATGAAGTATTAAAACATGGTATATGATAAGGCATTCTCAGGTCAATTTCCACATCTTTCTCTACCAGTGACCAATATTATGTATATATATATATATATATATAAAAATAAAAATAAACCTTAACAAATAAAATTATTTCAATAAAAAGCAGCACAAATGTGATTAATACAGCTAAAACGCAACATATGTCCTTGAAAGTACTATGATATTTTGGCAATTATCTAAAAAAAAAAAAAGCATGATAATATAAATATTAAGTACCAAAGATGTAATGATCATCTGAAGATATTTGGTTCTTCTCAATACCATCTAATGATGTTCATTCACTGAACATAATCCGAAGTTACAGACTTATCAAATGTTGGCATGGTATGACACAATGTGGGACGTTTCTATAGACAAACAAGTCCGCATGCAAACAAAGCCCATTGGTTCTATCCTTTATGAGCCCCACCGCAAAAAGCATTGTTCCTTTCATGAAGGGAAGAAGTTTGAGTTCCAGTGAGGCTCTGTGGAGATCTAAGAGCCTTCATTCTGAATCGGAGGCTGTGCAGTGCCTGGCTGATCCTCTGCTGTCTTCTCTTTGATAGAGGAGGGGCTTCTGTCGGTTTTGTTGCTGTCTGGGTTGCTGTGGCTTCCTGCGCTGCCCAATCGAGATGAAGCTACCACCGCTTTGACCGCTGCCTGTGGAAACATAAACACAGGAGTGTTTTTTTTTTTTTAATTGGATAACTTTAATATTAAAGCACATTTTGCAGATTATTATTTGTTAATGTTTATTTTTAATTGATGTTAAATGAATGGTTCCCCAAAAATGGAAATTTGCTAAAAAATTAACTCACCCTCAGGCCATCCAAGATTAAACAGATTTTGACAAATGTAGCATTACATCACTTGCTCGCCAGTGGATCCTCTGCAGTGAATGGGTGCCGTCAGAATGAGAGACCAAACAGCTGATAAAAACATCACAATAACCCACAAGTAATCCAAATGACTATAGTACATCAATTAATGCCTTGTAAAGAAAAAAAGCTGCAAGTTTGTGAGAAACACATCCTTTATTAATGTGTTGTAACTTTAAAACATCGCTTCTGGTGAAAGTATGTCTCCATAAACCAAATTAACGCTTCCTCGAGTGAAAAAGTCACATCAAAATCCAAGAACATATTAGTTTAAAACTGTTTTGGAGTGTTTTCGCTTGTAAACTGTGCTTGATCTGTGCAGATTGCTCTCCTGATTCAGACGAGAAGCCTTTTTCACTGGAGAAAGCAATATTATGGATAAAGGACTCGTATTTTAGCCGGAAACAATGGTTTGCAGTTAAAACCATCTTAATGATGAATTTGTTTATTACAAACATGCAGCTTTTTGCTTCAGAAGATGTTAATTGATGGACTGGAGTCGTGTGAATTACTTGTGGATTATTGTAATGTTTTTATCAGCTGTTTGGACTCTCATTCTGACGGCACCCATTCACTGCAGAGGATCCACTTGTGAGCAAGTGATGTAATGCTTAATTTTTCAAAATCTGTTCCACTGAAGAAACAAAGTCATCTACATCTTGGATAGCTTGAGGGTGAGTAAACTTTCAGCTAATTTTCATTTTTGGGTGAACTATGCCTTTAAGGAAAAGTGTGTAAATTCTTAGCCACTAGCAGAATCAAGCATAATAAAAAAAAATTACTATATTTTTACATTTTCTGAAGATGTGTGAGTGGTGCTTGCTTGTACAAAACTTTTGGATTTTTTAAAGGTTTTTAGTATGTTGCTATGTGTCTGCTAGGGTATTCTGGATGGTTGCTTGCTTACTTGCCCCAATCAAAAGTGCCTATTTCTATATATTCTGGTCTCTTCATTAAAGTCTATGGGACTTTTTTTGCCCAGAGCAAAGCTTTGAGGTTTTTATATATGTTTAAGTTATGAACATATTTAAAGTTGTCAATCCTGTAAAGCCTGACATAAGAAATAATAGCAAGAAAAAAATAAATTTTTTAAACGGAACAGCTTATTGAACCATTAGGCAAAAGTATAAACATATAGAAAAAATAAGACATATATATTAATATAATTATATTAATAGAACATATATAATAATAGAATAGAACATTATTTTGTGTATTTGGTGTAATGAAATGTTTATGCGGTTTAAGGTTAAAAAAACACATTATTTTCCACATACTGTACATTATTGTTTCTCCTCTATGCCCCGCCTTTCTGAAACGCATCGATTTTTACAAAGC